TATGCATATAGCAGTAGCACTTACTATTCCCAGACCTTTCAGGGCAGAGTCATCATCTCCAGAGACAACAGCAAGAACCAGCTGTATTTACAGATGAACAGCCTGAAAGCTGAAGACACGGCTGTGTACTACTGTGCCAGACACTCACAGTGATGGGGGTTGTGGGGAAGCCGAACAAATACTACTTCCTCACAGAGAATAAGGAAGACACATTATTATTTATCTAATTGGATCTGTTTATTTTTAAAATACAGTTGAAAAAACATATTAGATCATACAACACATGTTCCATTAACAGACAGCAAAAGAGATAATGTCAGCAAAAATGGGTCATTTTAAAACCTGTGAATTTAGTGTTATGTGTCGAAGTGCATGAACCAGGGAAGCAGGCAAAGGACATAAAGGCTGGGGCAAAAAGGGATTTAATGGGCGAACGGAGAGGCATACAGGGACAAAGCGCATAACAATACAGTGATGGAACTGGGGATACAAACTCTGACGTGGACTTAAATACACAGAACTAAGGGACAGAAACGCAGAACAACTGAGAACAATCAGGAATTCACATGAGGTAACGAGGGGGGCGTGGCACATAGAAGGATCGTACGAGCAGGTCAGGACAGAATCACCCCCCCCACCCCCAAAAGGTGCGCCCTCCGGGAGCGTCTCAGGGGAGGCAAAGGACGAGACAGGACCGGGGACACGGGACTTAGAAGACAAAAGCAAGAACATTAATGGGAGACCGGGAACAGGACGGACACACAAAACAGGCAATGGGGAAGCAACCAAGATAACACCTGACAGAAGACAGGAAAGGCAGATAGACAAATCAAAAAGGATGACACCAGGGGAACACTAACGGGAGGAATGAAAGGGCCAAGAGTGAACGCAGATAACACAGAGGGACGAGGAGCAGAGACAGGAGGGACGAAGGAAGAAGGGAGGAACACTGAGGATGGCGGACAGAGGGGAGCCCGAGAGAACCGTAGCGGGCAAGGAGTGGCAGCTGGAGGGGCCGCAGGCGACCATGAGGCCGGAGCTGAAGGGGACCTTGCAGGGGGTGAGGAAGTAGGCAGAGGGACCGGTGGAGCAGACGAGGAGGGAGTCGGAGGGGGAACCAGGAGAGGCGAGGAGGGAGTCGGAGGGGACCATGGCTCAGGTACTGTACTATTTTACTCACAACAAGGCCAAGGGTGAATCACTATATTCAACATACCTAGGATTATGTGTATAAATGTACACAGACAAAATTACAGAATTAATTTTATTCCTTTAACTTTTATCCTCTGGGATCATTTAATATTTCGTCCTAGTTTTCTAAGCAAAATATTTACTGGTGTAATTCAGGTAAAAGGTACAGTAGGAGTACCCACTTTAAAAATATCTGAAGTAAAATCTTATTTTAAAACATATGCTTCATTTATAATTAAAGTGGAGTTAATGGTAATATGCCTGTAAACTTGTTGCAATATTTATTGCAATATTTTTATGAATGCAGTATTTTACAATGCAGTATTATCTATTACAATTATTACAATATCAATAACTGGTAGTTAAAATTCTTAAACACAGACAAATTCTCCCTGTACCATGTCCCCAGTCCGCCTGTGAATAAGATAAGCGTTTGTAAGATGGATGTGCCGACAGTGTTCCTTAATACTAAAGACTTTCTGAAGGCATATGAAGGTCAGTGTGACCTGCTGTGTTTATAAAGAGGCTCCTACGATCCCCAGGGATTCCCCAGTAAACAAATTCACCCACCTGCCCGTGATATAAATGAGGTTCCTCTAAACAC